CAAGGAAATTCATAAAAAAAATAAAATAAGCAAAGCAAAACAATTATCATTGACTTAATAAACAAATCAAAATGATTGATGATCGACTCAAAAAATACTTTCATTCATTCTTTTGTTCTTTTTGTAAGTTACTATCCAAAGATACAAGAGAATCACTAAAATAAATGTAGATCCAAAAATCATAAACCTAGTTTAGCTGGCTGAATTCACCCTTTAGAGGCCAACTTTAAGTGGCTGAATTCGCCCTTCACATAGCCAACTTCATGTGGCTGATATCACCTAGTTTATCAACAACCTCATTTGATGAGTCTTGCACATCAAGACTCGTGCCTAATGAGATACTATCCATGTGTATTCATTTCATAAATTTACTTAGCCACATGCTCTAAGCCACACATTATATTTTAAAGTCGTGTTACTTTGGTTGACCATTTCCTGTAATGCCCTAAATCTTATAAATAAAGTATCAGAGGGTCATTTTGAGGATTTATTATTCTATGGGGAGTTCGGACAGCATTCGGAGACCAATAAAAATACGCCACGTAATCCTAAAAATATACCCGCGTTAAGTACCGAGCGTGTAACCGGACGGGAAAACCATCCGGAGTCCGCACAGAATAATAGCTCCATTTTGAGAGGGAATAGTAGAAAAAAGAGAAAATTTTCTATAATTCAAATTTATTCTAAATCAAATTTTATATTTTCTCTCTCTAGATAACTTGTTTTCCTTTAGAGCATATTTTTAGTTCTACTCTCTCATTCATCTAAATCACTAAAACCTCATGAATCCTGTGAGCATGATTATGATATCATCCACAGACAAATATAAATACAACATACTTGATATTCCAACAAAATAAAACTCTTAACCCTTCATTAATGGGTTGATAAGCTAGAAAATTTTTGGCGGAGATGTTAAAAAAATTTTTGATGGGAATTCTAGTGTATGTAGCAAATAATTTTTTAAAAAAAAGGCTATTAAACTTAATATAATATTTACTACTAGCAATAAAATTTAAAAATAATTAAATCCAAAGAAAATTAAGTCTGTTTGGATTGAAGGAAAGTGAAAGAAACAAAATAAAATTCCCTGATTGTCAGATGGTTTATGAATTAGCGGCTATTGACTTGAGCTTTTTAACCATTTAATTTCCTTCTCTTCAATGTAAACAGAGACTAAAATCATCAAAGTCATGTCACTGATTGACATTATATATATATATATAAAATTAAACTCAATAAATTTTTTTTTAAAAAAAATCAGTGTTCTGATAAAAAATCATAGATAAATATCTTAGTGAATTTGTTACACTCTAATAAGAGTAGTAATCATAGAAGCAGGACTTGAATTGTAACAGCTCAAACTCTTAACTATCGAGATATTGACCGTTTTGGGCTAAGGGCCTCACGATTTTGTCATGTTGATGCAACTTCCTAGGAGGTCACCCATCCTAGAATTTTTTCGGGATGAGCATGCTTAAGTGCTTAACTACAATGTTTATTAATGAAATTTCAACCATTACACCAAAATGGGTCTCGATGTTTAAGAGTTTAACTTTTTATACTTAAAAGGTTTTACAATCTTCCCCACTTAAGTAGTTAACGTCCTCGTCAGTATCATTATCCCAAAATCATCCACCATGCATATAAAATTCTAGAGGTGGCCCCTGCAAGTTCAAGTGGTGGCTCTCATCACGTAGCACTTTGTCTCATACAGGATTCAAGAGGTGGCTCCTATGACATAGCACTTTGTCTTGAATAACATTTAGTTCTCATCTTCTAGCTGGCTAATTGCTTTGATGCCATTTGTAATAGCTTAAACTTTTAACTTTTGAATTGCTCCTGTGCGATGACCTAAGTAATATAAGTGCATGTCCAAATAGTTTCCAATGCCCCGGATAAATCAGTGTAGTCCGTTTCATGTAATGAGTAATGATCCAGTGATTTCAATTTTGATCAAGACATTATGAAGCACTTTCATTTGACGTCACTTCAGTCTTCTACCATTTTCAACTTATTTGATCAGATCATCTTCAAAATAATGGTTGAGGTCAAAATCCATAATGCTTAAAATCACACAACAAATTTGGCAAAAAACAGATTATCCATGGATTTGGCAAGTAAACATAATTAGGTCAAGAGGTGCATTTTTTTTAAGTTTCATATTGAAATTTTAATCTTATTCAACATAATGTAATGCATATGTTAGGATAAACCAAAGGTTAAAATTGATGTAATGCATATCGGGAGAATAAAATGGAGAATATGTTAGCACAATGATGGATGTTAGGATAAACCAAAGATAATATGAATGTCATACTTGATTTTGAGTTATTATGTATGAGCCCCAAGATAGAGTTGATTGAGATTAATTATAGAAGATTTAGGAGAGATTAATTACAGAAGATTTAGGGTAATTGACAAAGCGATGAAACTAAAAATGAATATTTGCATTACAAATTTGAGATTTCCAGACATGTTTGCATCAATTTTAGCAAAATTTTATCGAATGGACACTTGAGATTATTATGTATTGTTTCAAAATTTATTCACTTCAATTTCTTTGTGACTTGCAACTAAAGCCAACATCTAACACATTTCATTCCTAACATGCCCAATCATTACATATGTTGATCACCTGAAGAATTAGAAAAGTATGTAGTTGAAATCATTTGCTAAGTTGAGAAATTTTACCACTACCATTCTAACTCTATGAAGTAGTTCTTGGTCCACCTAACTTACAAGGCAAGTGTTGGTGGCTCAACACAATCTTGGTGGATGCATTCCTTTGGGTGATGCTATTATTTAGTTTATCTAAGCTTTTCTAGTTTAAGAACCTGTAATTCAAAATATTCCTCATAGAACTATGCACCACTTAAAAAAAAATTTACGTAATAAGTCAAATGTTAAAGGCTCAATATGTAAAGCTTGCAAAGTTGAAAAGATCTCTACATTTTGCTTCATGTAATTTGAGTCAGACATTCAGAAAAGATGGGATCAAGTTCAAACAAGCGATGGTGGCTACATTAGAACCACAGAGGTCACTTACAATTTTCAATCACCATGTTTTTAACTATAACTAAGCACAACTGCCATCGACATCTAAATAATGATGAGTAAGAAGTTGTAAGGATTTATAACTTTCAGAACGCAATAAAATAAATTTTAATGTCAGGTGAAATTTACCTTGTCTATACGTAAATGATACTAATGTTTTATGACTTGTGGGCCTTATAGTGCACTTATTTTATGTAGAAGATTTAACTTGCTAAGATATTTGAACCCAAGAATATAACGAACGACTCTATGAAAAATAATCAGCAAAACTAACACAACTAGATCTGCTGTGAAAAAAGTGATTTGCAACTTGGTTCTGTGAAATAGAAAAAGTATATATTTGAATATTTTTGCTATGATAACAAACCTTTAATTCAATTTTGAATAGTTTTCGTTTTATACAGATGAGAAATGAACCCCGTGACGATCATCATATAATACAGTTAACATGTGGGCATTATGTTAAATCCTATACAAGATATTTATTAATAAATTTAAATTTCATACTCAATAATCAAGATAATGCATATGGTAAAAGCATTGTGAATAGTAGTATATGTGAAATGGAGTAGACATGATGACCCTGAAAAGTATTTCTACCTAATGTTGATGCAGAAGATCTTAGGATTTAAGATTTCCTAATTCAAATCTAAGATAAAATACCCAAAACCAAACACAAACTTCTATTTAGGCAACTCTCTTTTGATAAAAATTAAAAATATATATACATAAAATCCGCCTCAAATGAAAATTTAATGACCACCCAAATAAATAATTATCAAAGAAATGCATAATGAATGAAAACCACATAATGATCCACAATCAAAGCATAATTAAAATTTTAGATCATACAAGATTTGACCAAATTCAATTGCACATGGAAACCAACTATAAAATATGTAGATAAAAAATAGCAAGGAATGAATTCACCAAAAAAAGATTCAAGCATCATGCTAACACAAGTAGATGGTATCAATCGGAAGTTATTAACACTTCTGATTCAAAAAATTCATGACCATCTAACACCTTAAGAGAAATGTAAAAAACTTAATTAAGCAATGGTGTTCTTTTACATGTCACAGTCTTAAAATATCAAAAATTAATAGCATTCTCATATTTCAAAAATCACAAAAATCCCATATTTCAAAAATCACAATAATCCTGTAGCACGATATGATTTCTGATTGCACAATGCAAAATCATATAAATAACTATAATGGCCCATCAGCAAGTCATACAATCAATGATCTTCTTCTTTTTTTTCTTTTAGTTGCGCTTTAAACAATCAATGATCTTGATCAAAATTTTGGTGGGGTCTAGACCTCAATAAACATGTTAAACAACAATAACAAGAACGGTTTAGTAATAAACACAAAACTTCCCAAGTATATTGGTCTTCAAAGATGAAAGCCTATCACAAGTCTTCCTATACTTCTTTTAGACTAAAGAAGACCCCTCTTCAAATGGTTCTCAAACCTTCTTTCTTCTACCTTAGTTCTTGCACTATATGGTGATATTAAATTATATTGGTATAGTTGAAATTAGCGACCGAAAATGGGTGGAGTTCATTTGTAATTCTAAGGTGTACCAACTAGTATTAGTATCTCCCTAAGATTTATTCCCGATGTTGCATAACAATGGGACTCTGTGGGGTATTCTTGCACATTTTGACCTTATTATTGCATCAAATTGTGCCAATTCCTCGAATAACTTTCTACATAACTCACTGGTAGAATTCTACTTTTATCAACTTCTTGGACATCACCTAAGTCATCTCTTGATGTTTATTCATCTATAGTTGGGCATTCCACCATGCCAAGACATGATGGCATGACTTTAGTTAAAAAAGGACTTGCCATGGCTGTTAGACCCATATAAGATTGAAGTCAATCTCAAACTACTTAATCTATGCATGGAGATCCTCAAAATCAGCGGTCTCATTATACGTTGGAATCTCCAATTTAGCATATATTTTCAATGAATTCTTCCTTCAAGAGTTGTAGCATGTCTTACTTATCATCATACAGATAAATATGACTCGACTAGTCATAGCAGTGAATACTGATTGGTTGCATTCTTATCCACTCCATGATCAATCTATTATGTCATTCTAGCCACTTGGTTAGCTAAAGTTGCTGCATAATCATTCTTAGCCATTGATTGGCTTTCTTCTTCTTTTTATCCTTATCTCTTTACTGGCTTTCGACTCGAGTACAAAACAAGAAGCGGCTCTCCTTTTGCTTTATATCACCTCTTTGCTTGCATCATGCATCAACGAGCAATACTCTAATACCAACTTGATCAATAGTGAACATCTCAATGATATGGCATAAGCCTGCAATAAGAGGCTAAAATGGTAAAAAAAAATTGTAGGAATTCTTTTGAGAGGAACATTAATGACTTATTAATCAAATTAAAGTTATCTCAATTGAGTTTTTGTGCTATACTGGTAAGTATTCCTTGGTATCTCATTAAGGTTTTGTGTTTTGACTGCAAGCACATTATTTCACTTTCCAATTGATTTTACTTGCGGGTAGATTACATTTGTTACACTCATTTTGAATCAATTATAAACAAGTCATTGTTTAAAGGTTTCAAATCAAGGCTTGTAGCTAAATCACAACTTTAGTAATTTCGCCAATGTTTGTAGATAAGTTATGGTTGCAAATTCCTTGTCTCCCCGTATAGTTTGTAACATGCATGATGGTTCTCCACAAGTCTCTTATTTGCTTACGAGCAAATCACATTCATTGAAATTTTAGTATAAGTTCCTTGTTGATCCATTGATTTTTTTATTCACATGACCAAGACTTTTAATTGACATTTATACTTTTGAATATGATTATGCATTCATTCAATTAAATTCAATTTCCTTGTGTGTTTGTTTGAGTTCAAGATCTATGTATTTGTTCAAGTCAATTTCCTTGTGCATTTGTTTGAGTTCAAGATCTATGTATTTGTTCAGGTCAGGTTCATGTTCACAAGTCCCCTCTTGTCCAAATTTTATTCAAATTAAGTCTGGTCCCCTGTTCGGTCCGAATTTCGATAGCCTCCCGACGTCTCCTCATTTTACAGTAAATTGAGTCATCTCATCATGCTACAAGAGCGTGTATAATTGATGTCGGGTGACACCGCGGTCGTACATCTTCAATCCCACCAGGCTACGAGAGCATGTATGGGGAGCTTAAAGTACCTATAGAAAACAAAAGTGGTTTTCCCTGCCATGCTACGAGAGCATGTACAAGTACTTTAAGGACTCCCCACCATGCCACAAAAGTGTGTATAGGACCTACCCGCCTCTCCGTATGCATCGCATCGGGTTTCCTCCCACCAAGCTACGAGAGCGCGTATAGGGGGTTTTCTGGCTCGACACAAACGTTGAATGCGGGATCTTTGAGTTTAAAAATTATACCTTTGTGGGGATGTTGACAATGGTGGGAATGAAAATTGTAAAATGCATGCAAGAAAATCCCATTTTTTCTCTCTTTTTTTTTGAAATCTCCTCTCCCCTTTTTTTTCTTTTTCTTTTTTGAAACTTCCTCTTCACTTTTTTTTATCATTTTCATCCTCATCATCATAATTTCATTCATCATTTTGTTAGGAGATATATATGTGTATGCATATGTATATGTACATCTACAAACATCTAAAATTAAGAATCATAATACTATTAACTATTAATTTTAACTAATAAGAGAACTAATAACACTAATTTACATTAACTTGAAATGATGCTTAATGTTAAAAAAAGATAACATAACATAAAAAAGGGAAATAAACAAAAAGAAAACCACTATTTTGATTAGGCTAATGAAGCAAATTTATTTTTTAGGTTGATTTTGGTGGACTTAGGCTTGTGTTAGGTTAAAACAGTGGGTTGAAACCCAAAATTTACCCCGGAACTTAATCCATTAAAACTCCTCAAAAAGAAGCAAGGGATGCCGGGGCGCAAATTTACTGAGCCCATACTACAGTATGGACTTTAACCTTATCAACTCTTTTGTACTCAACCGGGGCCTTACACTTTTTTGAAATGACTTGTAAAAAATGCTGGACGAGCAAACACTTGCTCAATAGGCTACACAAACCCTACTAAAGAATTTAGTATTCGTACTAAAATAAATTGCACAAGACCCAAACAGTGAATAAACAAAGAGTTAAATAGTTTAAATTAAACACTAGGACATTTGTGAAATGTTATACTATTAACATGATTACAATAATACTAATAGTGTCAATCATAGTCACAAGTCAACATATGAACTTGTCATAAGTAATAACATAAAAGTTTCTTGAACTTGACCGTAGCAACAGCATAAATATCATTTGAACATAAACTTGATATCAGAACATAACATATGATAAGGCATAATACACAACATATGAATCAAACCATGTTTCATATTTACATAACGCATTTCACATGTCACCTTTGTCATTTCATATTTCATATATCACCTTGCACCTTTCACATTCCACATTTTCCGGTGCCTCCTTATACCTCCACTTTCACTTATATCTTCACTTGTATACATGTACCTTCACAGTTCATATTTCATATTTCTTGACACCTCCTTATATCTCCACTTTCACTTATACATCCACTGATCCACTTGATCATATCACATTTGTTTGAGTGTATCACGCACATAGGGATAATTACATAAATACACAAACCCTTATATCTCCCTTATATACATATGAAACATCAAACACTATCCATTAGTATATTCATTATCTTTTCTCATCACACATAATTTCAAGCACATGGGCAAAAAGATAGCAAAACTTCCAATATGCATAAATAGAGTAGAACGTATCACAAAAAAAAACAGAATACACATAAGCATAAAAAATAAGTCATTTACACTTTTCAAAACTATAACATAAAGATATCATTCTTTCCTTTTTCACACACACTTCCAAATACATAAGTACAAAAATATCAAATTTTCCCTTTGGCACACATTTGCAAACATATCAACATAAAATCATCATAACATTGACCTATATAAATAATATCATAAATACATCAATATTTGTTAATATGTAAAGCAAAAATGTATAGCCAATAGGCAACATGCTATGGTAAATGACAAAATGCTCAGAAAACTAGCAATAGTTAATCAAATACATTTTCTCCTTTTACTTCACATTTCATACACAAACATAGAAATATAGGCACTTGCAATATATATAAATAGCAAGTAACATCTCATAAAAATATGTAAAATTTCACCCATATGGCTAATTAGTAGGATTTTTTGGGGCAAAATTTGTGCTCACATTTTGACAATTACAATTCACAAAATCATTCATAGAGAATATCCATAGCATCATTTTAAAGCATTTCTTGTACTATAGTAATTTCTAAAAATATTAGCAGACTCACAAAAATATTTAAAATGGCGTGCGAAAAAGACCACCCGTGAAAAATTCATATTTTTTGTCAATATGATCAAAATCTTCTATTCTGCAACATACCAAAAGCTAGCACTATAAAAACTTTCTAAATCTTCGTAAATCTATGTTTTTGTCAACCCAAAAAATACCCACTCAAACATCAAAATTTAAATCTAAAACAAGGTATCGATAAACCACCTCAAGATGAAAACTTTTCCCAATTGGCCATGCTAACAAAATCGGCTCCGCAACTGCCAAACCCTAGCTTTTCATTTCTTTTTCTCTCTCCTCTTGTCTTCACCTCTCCAGCTCCTCTCTATGGTACTTAGGCGAAATGAATATGTGACTGGTATTGGTTAGACATATTTATATAAAAACATAAAAATTGGTCTAGCACCGTAGCGCTCTCAAAGAAAATTTCTTGACATGCAGATAGAGAGCCTAGAGCCTAATGTCGAAGCGCTCCAATGAAATTTATCCAGACAAATAGATACCTCAACGTCGCAACTACCAAGTGCTTCCCAACATAAAGAAGGTAGCGTCTCAGCGCCACCATTAAAGCATCATAATGCCCCCAAGTGATTTCAAACTCAACAGAGAGGGCAGCGCCACAGCGCTCCTAAGGAATTTTCCACTTGACATGTTCTTACTTTTCCAATTCAAACCACAAATCTTTCGACAAAAAATTAACAATGAAAATAAGTTCTGAATTTTCATAGAAATTTAAATGAATTTATGAATTCTTACCAGATTCAATTCAGAGCATTATAGGTGAACTCAATACTGTAGCAAGGGTTACTAAAATGACTATCTTTGGGGAACAAAAAAAATCAAAAGAAGATGTAAGATCAAGTTCAGGGTACCTACCACTTCAATGTAAAGCATTTATGCTATAAAGGTCTCTTCCAAGTACTCAAATGACATGTAATCCTAATAAGATTGTATGGTTTTAAGCCATTCAGGGCTTTGGTAGCTTAAATTTCTTGGTTTAGAGAGGAGACACGGATGTGATCCAAGTTTTGCCATAATCAATTTCCAAATGAGAGATTTGTTAGTATTAATTCAATATCATACATGAATCATGAGATAGGCGATATGTCAGGTATTGACTTAAAATCTATATTGAAGTAAGAATCAAGTTTCGTATTGATGATTCTATAAGTTGTATATGGAAGTTGAATTAGCATGGAAGTATAAGACAATCATGAGTTTTTGACAAAGAAATTAAGAAGGAATTAAGAAGGAATTAAGAAAAGATAGAGAAGACAATAGATATGAAGAAAGAAAGAGAAAGGAATCATAATAAGTTTATTTCCAAACGTCCAACTTATCATATCGATGAACTGTTGATACCTTTTTGAAAAAATTTTGCAATGATATTTTTTTAGTGTTTGTTTAATCCACTTAGTTTGCTATGTTCATTAAATTATCTTCTCTTTTTTGTTTTCAGATATTTAAGGCATCTCTTTTACTTTGTTGAACAAGGGTGTACTTGAATTTTGGGAAAAACTAATAAGTGGTCTTCTATTGTATGCCATGATTATGACTTCTTTATGAGTGAATCAAATCATAGGCTTAAACAAAATCATGTAGATTTTCTTGTCCTATTGTTGCAGAAAATACTTGCTCCTAGGTTGATGTTTTTGTTGCACAAAGTTAAGCAATGTTTATGACTTAGCTTTTACATGCAGATTTCCAATATAGTCAACTGTTATGTATTGCAAAATATAAGAAAAAAAAAAAGGGCAATCCAAATGATTTTGCTCAAAAATACTATAACAATAACTGGCAATCAAGAAGACCAAACTAGCAGCAGAGCTTCAAGTCTTCAACTTTCATAGTGATAAAGCATTGCCTTCAAAAGTATAGAAAGAAAAACCAGTATCGTCCAATCAACTGAAAGAGCATCAAGGTAAACTTTTTGACAAAATGAGCAACAGAGAAACAAACAAGCTGATCGCATACCTTGATACCTTTCAAAAATTTTCTTCATTTCCAGCTGGAAGGCCAGTAAGCATGGACGCTGTATCCTGTCTTCCAATTATCCAAAGAAATCACTTTCCCAACAGCCCAATACACCACAACCATCGCCGCAAGCATCATTCCCCGCTGCACCGTCACACTCTTCAAACGCACCAATCCATGTGTCACGATCGCCAGAACCAAACCCACCAGAGTATACAGAAACCCCACGATAAATCCCTCCGCACCCAACTGCATCCCCGATCCCTGGTAGAAGAACACCGGACGCCCATCCCGGTCGGTCATCATCATAGGCATGTTCCTAATTATATTATGCATCGAACCTGAAACGCTGAAGAAGTAGACGAACACAGCACCGGCCATCCACACCCTAGAATCATGCAGCAGGGTTTCTCCAGCAAGGACCTTTTTTATGATAAAGGGGGCAGCTATGAGGAGGGCAAGGAGGAGGACGGCTTGCTGGCGGGGTGAGACGGGCGGTGGGTGAAGAATGGGGCCAACGGAGATCTTAGTCTTGGATTCAACGAACTCTGCCATCGCGTCAGCAAGGCGAGAGAAGGCAGAGGCGTCCATCGAGTCTGAATCGCTCAGGGATCGGGTTGTGGGGGAGACAAGGCGTACATGGGGTAGGGAATTGACACCAAATTTAGAGAAGGAAGACTGGGACTCGCCAAACTCAATGTCGCAGAAGAAGAGCTTGGAAGCGGAGGGGAGGCCGCGGTGGTGGGCAGCAAATGATTCCGAGACTATGGCGAACTCGGAGCGGAGTTGGGGAAGGTGGAGTTCGGATTTGGAGCGGAGGGAGCTGGCATCAAAGAAGATGATAAGGTGGTAAGGGCGTGGAATTTTAACCGATGTGAGGAAGCGGGAGATGAGGCGGTCGTCTAGATGAATCACTCCGGAGGGCGACTTCGACTGGAGAGATTCCAGTTCGTCCACCAGGTCATCGTCGGATGACGCAGAAACGCCGACGGTTCCAGAGACTGAGAAGACGATGACGAGGAGGTAGAGGGAAAGACAGAAAACAGCAGATCTGGGAGCCATTTTTCTCCCCGTTTCCTTAGGGTAAATTTTGCAATTATGGATCGACGAGTCTGGTAATTGGAGGCGATGGGGTACAGTGCTCGGCGGTGAGACTAGGAAGCTGGAGAAATTATTTTGTGTCCGTTAGGACTGTGGCAGACTGGCAGTGTGAAGGAATTACGAGTGTACATATAATATATATAGTGTATATTATATATGCATACATATACTATATATAATGTGTGTATGCTTATATGTCTAGATGGAATCCGCATAAAATAATTTTTCAGGAGTCCGAACGGAAATAATCGTCTAAATTGTGAGTGTACTTACATTATGTACATAATGTATACAATATATGTCACATATGTGTACACACACTATATATAGTGTACGTACACTCACATGTTGGAACAGTTGTTCTCGTCCGAACTCCGCATAGAATAATTTATCAGGTTCATGAGCGTAGAATTATGATAGATCAGAACTTCTACGGTTGAGTAGACTGTAGACCACGCTCAAATCTAAAGTTTTGTTTGAGACAGCTTTGATATTTTTTAAAATTTATTTTTCTATTTTAAAAATTATCATAAGAAATGTACGAAATTTGTCCTAAATGAAATTTAAGTTTTCATTTGCTAAAACTTTTTTATTATTTTCTGAAGCATCTTTTTAACATAAAAAAATTATAATTCAAAATTATATTTTTGTTGTGTTCTATTGTGCATATGTATAGAATTATCATAAATATGCATATATATATGGGAAGATAAGTTTTAAAACTAATATATAAAAATAAGATGTCAATGTATTTTGGAAATAACGCATCATATCTATTTAACTTGGTAAAAAATATTTTAAAGATTTGATATTTTCGAGGCACTTTATTTCAAAAAAATTTCCGTGGGCGTCAAATTTCATTGTCTTTGTTAAAAATGTTATATTAAAATGGGTTAAAGTTGTTATGAACAATTTGATAATATTAATCACTATAAGATGTTACCTCCTATCTTGACATTTCATATATCAAGAAAATCTTGATTTTTGTATATAGAAGCAAGCATCACATAAGTCTCATGCATGCTGCCTTCTTAGCACAAGCTGTTGAGTGTTGAGGAATGTAAAGAGAATGACATTATATGAAGTCACACAAGATTAAATTTATTTCATGGGTAAATCTTTTTTCAGTATTTGATGAATAGGACAATATAATAAGGATGTCTAGCTTGATGATCAATATTTTTCATGAAATTTGGCGTGATCATTTTTCTTTAACGGGCTGTTAATGCACATGTGATTGTTGATTTCCTATTGGCATATCTTGCTCCTACGTATTCCCACTTAATTACCATTTATCAAATGAGCAAACAATAATTGAGAAGATTAATAATTAAGCTCTAATGTGATAATTATACTTTGATGGTGCATCATATATCAATATCATAAATGCAAATATGCTTCCTTAAGTTCTAGTTAGAACCGCTCTAGTATTCATTTATGTGCATATTATGCTACTCTTTTAAACCCTTATAACATCTTTCCAATAATGAAACCAAATACAAAGCCTTTACTTTTGGCTAATAAGTAGCAATCAAAATAAGAATTTAAGGAATTTATATCCTTAGTGATTCGCAATTTACATTAATCAACTCATTAGTATAAGATACTTTTAAGCTTTGATTGTGCACATCATTAATAAGTAATGAATCTACTTACGCGTGTTACTAAAAAAATATTTGATGAGAGTGCCACATTTTGATAATTATTAGGTGAATACGCTTGCCAAGATCACAAAGAAATTAATAAGTCCTAATGGAAATAGTATTAATAGATTAATTCAAGGTGGGCATATATTATAATCTGTCACATTATCCTCCGCCAAAGGAAGATAAAGCTAATTTTGAGTTCTCTTTTTAAACTTTTTAAATTCTTGAAGACATTGATTTGAGAAATCCTTTTTTCAAATAGCTAATAATTTTGGAAAACCCTAATGAGCTTTCCCTTGCATCTCAAACTTTAAAAAAAAGTTATATCATTTGCGTTTATTATTGTCACTTTATAGTTGACTAAAAATAGTATTACTAATTTGAAGCAAATTTTTAGTTTATAGTTATTTATGACCTCTTAAGCTTAATCTCAATAAAAAGTCCTAAAATTTTTGTTTTAGATAAAAATATAGAAGTTCTAGTTAATAAACTAGTCTTACAAAATTCCTAAAATTCATTTTGGTGCTATTGAATAGTATTTGATACCTTATTATCCTTTACTTTTATCAAGCAAAAATTTTATGAACTCACTATAGAAAATTTTAACATTTTAAATTTAGGTAATGCCAACATGTTTAACAGAACTTAGAAAGATTTTACTATACAAGTTGGGGATGAATTTATTGCATCACTTTTTGAGCTAAGTTTAAAACCACTTTTAACTAGCCCTCGACTGAGAGATTGGATAAACATATCGTAGCACAAGGTAATACATAGGAATGCCTAACAAACCCTTGACCAACTTACTCTTGGCCTAACAATCCTTTAAATCAATCATCCCTTAATTTAGCAAGCCCTAAACTATATTATAACCATTATAGTCTAATAGGCCACTAGAATTATTTATATGGCCAGCTTTTGATTTACACCATATGTTGTACTGGTTTGATCATAAACTAACCTTATGTGGATCCCACTTACCCTTATGAAACTAAGCTGAGCTAGTTTAATAATGCTTTGACTATGCCTTTCTTAATGCAATCAATTTTCAAGGTGATTCATTTGAATTAATTTAACTCTTTAATCATTATTAGGTGATTCAAATGATTCACTTTGTTCAAAGCCTATTTGCTTTCTTTGATTGATAGTGGATATTTAAATTATAATCCCTTATCAACTCAAGACATCTCATATTTTTTTGATTCAACTCTTCTTAAGTAAATATATATTTTAATCTTTGATGGTCAGTAAACAACCCACACCTAACCCTATAGAAATAATGACTCCATATACTTAGTACAAATATAATAGCTGGTTGTTTTATATCATATGCAGGATAATTCTTCTCATAAATGTTAGTTATATAGAAGCGTATGCAATGACTTCTCTTATTTTAAATCAAAACACAACAATGGCCTCTTAATGATGTATCACTATAATTTGAAATCATTTTGTCCACTCAATTCATTCTAAAACAAGAGCTATGACCAAATACTGCTTTAATCATTGAAATATCTCATTGTAATGTAGTGTCTAATCAAAGTTAGTAGCTTATAGCTTTCTCGATAAGCCTGGTCTGTGGCACTATAATTTGTGAAAAAAAAAATCAAAATTATTTTATAATACCCAACCAAATAAAGAAAAGTATGCCTTTCACTTACATTTGTAGGTATTGGCCAATCAATTATTACCTAAACTTTATAGGGTATCATATCTACTAATAATATGTCACAAAAGAAGACATTCTTTAACTAAAATTCTCATTTAATAAAAATTTTCAAATAATTTATGTTCCCTATAATGTGGTTAAATATGTTGATTTGTCCCCCAAAATAATGAAGATATGAGGAAGAACATTCATATTTAAATTCAAAAAAATATGCTTAACACTGTTATATTGTATGAATTAAAATATTTGTTTGTTGAATTTTTTTATAAATAAATTAAGTTTGAAAAAAGTGGAATATCTAGACTGATGTGCGATAAAATTAGGAAAAAATATAAATTGAGGTATGAATGTATTAGATTAATAAAACTAATACTAATATCTATTAAAGATAAATTGATGAAAAATAAATTGAAGTTTTCTAGGCATATCTAATTAAGCTAGAGTAGAAAATATATTCATTTAATCAATAAGTAAAATGAATGCCAATAAATTAAAAATAAAAATAAATAAATAGATTTAACATAGGATATAATATTTGTGAAATTAAAAGATACTTTTGACAAATAGATGATAATAATAGATCATTAAGTAATTGATTTAGTAAATGAGATATGTATGACTAATATTTATTATTCAAAATTAAAGAATAGTGATATAAAAATATAAATTAGGATGAAACTTAAAATTTTAGATCTATTTTGAAATAAATATATTATTAATTATTTATATATTAAATTAATTTTAATATATATTTAAAGTTTTAAAAGCCGAACATCGGGATCAAAATTTTATTTTGGATATCCTGAATTTATTTTTTATTATTATACTCACACGAGTCTACAGATCTTGGCGCCATGGCGGCTGCCCGCTAACTCTAGCTCTTCACCCTTGAATCGTCTGCACCAAAGCCATCTCCCTCCCAAGCTGCTCATATATATAGAGAGAGCGAGAGAGAAGAAAACAATGTTCTTCAAATCCCCACCTCGCCTTGGGCCCCTTGCCATGCTCTCCTATCGCCTTCCATCATGTCGGGTTCAAAGATCCTCCCTTTCTTCCACTTCCGCTCCTCCCGTGCACTTCTCTCCCTCCCACACAGAATCTCTTATCCGCCGCCACCTCGCTGCCGGCGATTTCTCCTCCGCAATCTCCCTTCTTCTCCGCTCCGCCCGCTCCTCCCAACCTCTTCCCGCCTCCACGCTGAACGCCGTGCTCGCTTCCCTCTCCAGAAGCCACCAATTCGATATCGCCATCACCCTCTTCCACTCTCTTCGCACACTTGCCGTCTCTATCGATCTCGTTTCCTACAATATCCTGCTTAACTGCCATTTCCAAACGGGCTGCTTTTCGCTAGCTCTCAATCTGTTCGATGAAATGCGCCACTCAGGGCTTGCACCTGATGTTTGCACCTTCAACACATTGATCAAAGGATTCTGCAGAGAGAACCACATTTCCGACGCATTTAAACTCCTCGATGATATGCGCGTAGAGGGACAAATGCCTAATCGATACACATACTCCATGTTGATTGGAGTCGTGTCACGCAGCGGATGCTCAAATTCAGCAATGGGGCTCAGTTTAATTCGAGAAATGATTCAGCTTGCTTTGGAGCCCAGCGATGTGAACTACAGTTGTGTTCTTGCTGCAATTTGTAAGGATGCGAAGGTGAAGGAGGCGAAGGCGATTTATGGTAGGATGAGCAAAGTGGGAATTGGACCAGATATCTGGGCATTTAACTGTTTTGTCAACTTGCTGGGTCGGAAGAAGATGGTAACTGAGGCAAAATTGCTTTTTGTTGACATGTTTAGTCAAGGAGTTATTCCTAATGTTGACACTCATAATGTTCTGATTCATGGGATTTGCATGGCAGGCCATGTAGATGAGGCTTTGAGAATGCTCAAAGACATGCTTACTCAAGGACCGAGACCCAGCACAGTCACTTACACTATAGTAATGCGTGCTCTGAGCGGACAGCGAAGGTTAGATGAAGCGTTAATGCTTCTTAATGATTTGTCTCAGCAGGGATTGAGCATTGATAAGTCCATGTATGGGACTTTGCTCTATGGTTTATGTAAAGGGTGGAGGGTGGAGGATGCTAGTAAGCTATTTCAACAGATGGATTCAAGTGGATTTAACGATATTGTTTCTTATAATTGTTTGATTCGTGGGCATTGCAAAATGGGGAATTTGGAGGCTGCCAAGAAGCTATTTGTAGAGGCTGAGGCCAAAGATCTGAAGCCTGATGTAGTCATGTATACTACCTTGATCAATGGATTCTTCAAAATTGGAGACATGAAAGCTGCACAGGAACTCGTAATAGATGTGGGGAAGAAGGGTCTTAAACCAGATTTGATCATGTTTTCCACCTTGATGGAGGGGCTTTGTGAAATGGAAAGTTTTGAGGCTGCTAATGAGGTACTGGATGAATTGGTAAAGCAAGGCCTTGAGCCAAACTCAGCTATTTATACAATGTTGATATGTTCATTGTGCATGGCTGGGAGTATCAACAAAGCTATTCATTTTCTAGAAGAGATGAGTCTTAAAGGACTAAAACTCGATTTTAGATCCATTAGAATGGTTTTTAGATGGGATGATGCACGATACAAGTTCATGGAGTCATGTCGAGAGCCTGCTGCAGCCTTTGGATGAAGTAAACGTCAAGATAAGATTTTGATCATTTGTATGATATTCATAAAAGTTTTAGTTTCGTGGATGGGATTTCCAGGAGAAGTTGGTCATGGCATTGCTACCGGATTCCATTAACTATTCCTACTGGGTTTTAGAGTTGTGACTACTCTCCCAGTGTTTGCTTGTGAAAGTAACTAGTTGGATCGCGTGTCTTATGTCACTTGGCCACCCTGGAAATGAAGTATATGGTTGGTGGTGAGAGAAATTATTGTGTGCAGATATGGACGGGAGAACCGTTCGGTACTGCGCAGCATTGTGCTCAGTACCGAGGGCGGTATACTTTTTGGGGTGATGTGATGTATTTTTATTGGTTTTTGGACGACGTTCAGACTCAGCACAGAATAATTTGTCTGATAAAGGATCTGGCTTTGTTGTCGGAGAATGTTGAGTTTTGTCCCAGAACATCAAGCAACTAATATAGAAATGCATGTTTCAAACTATGTTGTATATATTTTTTTATCAACAGTTTGGCATTGGTTACAAGAAACAAATGTGCCACGCTTCCAAATTTCTATGAAGATATTTTATTTGTTCGCATTACAAGTTCTTCTAAGGTTTTATTTTGTTACTGGTTGAGCAAAATTTTTTGGCTTATTAACTTCTATTTGGCACTCTGGTTGCCTCACCCACATCAAATTCAATGTAGGGGGGCGTTCAGGAAGTGTTAAAATGTTAAGGTTTTGTTTGTGATAGCTTTCTTACTGTTACTTAAAGTAATTTTTTAATTAAAAAATTAATTTTTTTCTACTAAAAAATTATTTTAAGAAGCAGTAAAAAAACTGTCCCAAACAAAACCTAATACACTGATTGATGCAGCATCACTACTAGCTCTTGTGGCCACAAGCCAGTTGCCAAAGTTATGATCAGAAGGAATTGTGCACCTCTTGTGACCTTTTCATGCAACTATTGCCTATTGAAATATTTATCTCATTTTTTATTTTTTTTCTCTTTCATTTAATGCATTTATGTATTAATGTGAGTGTGGAAAATAATAGAAAAGTATTAGCATATTTAGAGGTTGTTTGGTTTGCTGAAAAAAGATTGCACAATAAAATGCAATATAGTGTAAAAGGAATGCAATGCATTTGAAATATTTGAAATTAATGTAGGTGTTTTTTTTTAAGAAGTAAAATTAATGAAGTATAAAGCTCAATAATGGTGGTGGCCAATGGACGGCTGGCGGTAGAAGCAATAAGCAATGGCCAACAACGGATATGGTGGGTTGGCGGTAGCCGGTAGCTTACGGATCCAAGCCTGTGATAGATATGAAAGAATTCAAGTTGTATTTAAAAATTGGTCAAATGTAAAGATTTTCAAATACATCAAAATTGAACTAGAAGGTAAGTTTCAAATTCACCAATGAATTATATTGTATTTGAAATTCACTCAATCAAATACTTTTGCCTTTTCATGTACTATTGTTCAACCACTTAGCACCACTATATGAAGTGGTATTATAGTCTAATATGGACTTTCGGCAACTGAAGATCAAATAGTGCCTAAACTTATTGCAATATTTAGCTTTCATTTGGGATGTCTTTTTTATTGTCTTTTAAAGCAGAGTTTTAAAATTAAAATTTTTATATTAAAACTCTATTTTAAGCAAGATTTTGAAAAGCAGACCGGACAACGAACCGGAATAAGAAGAGGTTCACGGTTCGACCGATCAACCTAAGGTCGAAGGGTATGATGTAATAAATAATAACACTATTAAAAATTAATAAAATTAACATAATAATGATGCTAATTTAATCTTAAAATTATCTTAATTATAAGAATTTTGAGACTGATAAATAAATAAAATTCATACATATAGTCATATATAATATATTACATTTAATTTATGTATAAATTTCACAATATAAAATTATATTTAAAAATTCATACAAAATAATTTTTCTTAATATCATTTAATTTCATATTTAAAGAGATGTTTTAGAACTTTAAAAATTATAAATATTTATTTTATTTGAATAACTATAAATATTCAAATAATTATGAACTTATAAATTTAAGAACTTTAAAAATTATTACAATTATTTTTTATTTGAATATTTTATACAAATTTTTTCCACCAAATTCTCATATAAGCATTCACCATGCACACATTGTTGAAATTAGAAACTACTAGTTCTTTAGTCCCACATGACTTAGGAGCTTTATGCTTGTTTGTTTATATATATTTTCTTGTATTCATAGGTAAATAGTCCATTCACCATGCACACATTGTTGAAATTAGAAATTACTAGTTCTTTAGTCACACATCACTTATGAGCTTTATGTTTGTTTGTTTATATACATTTTCTTGTATTCATAGGTAAATAGTCCATAATGGACGATTAACTAGCAGGGGTGGAGCCATGATTTTTTTCATGTTGGGGCACAAATCATTGAAGTAAAAAAAAAACCCTCAATCTTAAAATTTTCTTTCGAAATAACTTTCCATATTTAATTTCAATTAAAATAATATTAATAGGGTTTATCAAGTAAAGAATTCAAAATTTATTCTTTGACAGCTCAAGGCCATAAAATCATATGTCCAACTAAGCCAAAAAAAATATAAGTGAGAAAAAATTTTAACGCTACTCTAATAAGAAGCCGTCGTGAACAGGCTCGCTAAAAAGCTCGATTAGAGCTCGACTAAGAAGCTCGATTAGAGCTCAATTAGAGTTTTAAAAATAAATACAATTAAATCTACTAATTTAGTAATTTTTTTACTAATTTAATATTTTTAATTTTAATAGTATTCATTAGACATATCTCTAACTTTTATTTTTAGTAATATAACTAATTAATTAGAATTATTAACTTAGAAGAAAAAAAAAAAAGTGACTAAGCCTGAAAAAAAAAAAAGCCTTGTCCTCCCGCTATTTCCCGCCTATGTAAACCCTTCCCGCCTAAGTCTTCCACTCATAAGAAAAAAAAAACCTTTTTTTAATCCCACACCGTGAAAGATAAAAATATTTTGCTTTATATAATAAGACATTTTGACAAGGTAAGTAAGTGTGTTTTCTGGTCTCTGTAAGGAGGCAGCTGGTTGTGAATAACCAGCTAGTACTATGATCAAATTGTCTCGTGGTCCGCTCTTTTAGAGCTCAAATTTGTTCACGAACAGGTCTTGAAAATAAAATTTTTTTGAGAACTCAAACATGCTAAAGCTCGGCTCGGTTATACGATTTGGGACGAAAAAAGAAATATAATAATACTATTTTGATTTAATAGGTAATTAATGAGTCATAAATATACTTAATTAGAAATTATTAATAAAGTCAGTGGGGGCACGTGCCCCCATGCTGCATCCGCCCCTGATAACTAGTGTTTAATATATAATATTATAAAATTTTCAAAATTGTATTATTAAATAAAATATATCATATCTAAATTAATTTAATATTTAATAAATATTTTATATTAAATTAAATTATTTAAATATATTATAAATTGAACCGACCATTAAATACCAGATAATAGGTGTGAATCCCTTATATGTAAGTGGTCATGAGGTAAGGATGAGTAAGTTAGTGAAGTTAAAGTTATGTGCTTCAGAGGTGTCTATAAAGCTGGAGATTTGATGATATATTTTGATTTGGTTTGAGTTGGCTTGAAATTAATTTGAGCATTTGTTGGATTTTCAAGCATTAAATCAACTATATGATTTTCATAAATAAAAATTTATTTCAAAATGGATTAATAAGATTTTAATATAAAAGAAATATTATTTACAATTTGTGAAAATTATATTTGACATTTAGGTCATATTTGTTATGATCTTTGTGTTAAAAAAAAAAGTTCCATGATCATATGAAAATTTAGAGGTCTCAACAATGGCATATAGGTCATATTTGTTACAATCATTCAAAATCTTGCATGTCATGCAAATATTTGTTGAATGTTTGCCAAATATAACAGACATGAATCTCATTTTGGCATATTTACTATTTAGGATTTAGGAATATACTGACCTTCTCATTTCATTTATGATGGTGGAAAGGCAATCATTTAAGATTTTAGCCTTGCCCAATTTTTTTCTTGTCGTCATATTTGATTACTAATCCTTCTTCATTGAGTTCTAATTAATATAGAAAGACGTAATATTCCACAACTAAGCATGTTGTTATTTCTCATGAGAATATCAAAGTTGACAGAAACACTAATCTGAATATCTCATACAACAAAATAAAATGTTCTTATTTATGTGTAATCTCATGGGCAGGTGCTGTGTTCTGTCAGGCGTCCGGGCAGCATGCGCAGGCAGACGAAAAATTCCGAGCACGGGCTTATTCTGACGGCTTATTTTCCGTCGGATAGCTAACGAAAAAATTTTTTCAGTTTTTTTTTTCACGGAAAAATTTTCAACCAGAAATCCGCCGCAAAATAAAAAATTTTCTGTCGATAATGATTGATTTTTCTATAGTGTTTATTTGATTCCAACAAGTATGTTAATTTGTGAAGATTTATGCGAACAAGTCAACCTCCCGGCCATTAAGTGGTTGTAGAGGTCTTGCATTCATTTCATATCCCTGCACAGGGAGAAAACATGATAGTCAACACACTGCAAAAATGTATATATCATATTTTATGCGGGGATTTTGTGAAAACTTACGACTACAGCTGCTTCTTTTAATGATTTCAGCTGCTCTACTGATATAGTTCTGACCTGTGAAAATCATTTGTATTCTTTTTAAGTTAATCAAAACATAGATATCAAGTTTTTAAGTATTAGTTTGAAGGATAAAGTCCAATTTCTAAATGAGAAAACATCAAACCATTTACATTTCTATTGATAGTCCATGTAACTCCTTCAGTGCATGGTGGAATAGTTATAGATCCCTTCAATCTATAATATTTGTCAATCACTCTACTTATCTCCTTAGGATCTATAATTCCTATCTCCACTTTGGCATCCATTTTTCTGCTTATGGCACCAATATATTTCTCAACCTAATAACAAAAATATAAGTTTGATTATTGTAACATTGGTTGGCAATATTCAAGTATTCATAAGCATGTATTAGTAAATGATTATCACTACAGGAAAATTACTCATTACCGGAGGATTTTTCCGGCGACGTTCTGGCGGACTATATCCTGGAGGAATATGTCCGACGCCGGAATATGTCCAACTAATTTTTCTACATATTTTCCGGTGGTTTTTTCGTTGGATTTTAGTTCTTATATTCTAAATAAAAAAGTGTGACATTTAATCACGTTTGCCCTTCCAACAAACTGGTTGGGTATTTGAAATCATATCACTTCGAATCCCAGCGCATGCAGGCTGGCGGGCAGGCCAGGTAGCAGGCAGCCTAGCGAGCGGGCAACGGGCAACCGAGCTGGCGGGCAGGTTATATAATTAAATAACTTAGAATGGATTTATATTTCCACCAGTAATTGACGATTTTTCTGTAGTGTATATTTAAATATTTTCATGCATAAAGATAGAGTATATATACATATGCATAATTAAATAACTTGGAAGCAATCTTAATTAATTATTACATACCTTGGTAAAGAATGGATCTGGATTACCGATTTTATATAAGTTGCTTATCATGGCCATTTTTTGGTCAGTGGCACGCTGGTGAAGCATATGAACCTCTAAATCAAATCTGTGTTGAAGATATAATAAAAGATAAAAATACTAATTAATCAGATTATATGAAAATAAAAGAGATTAATGAATGTAGTCACTTATAACTTGCATCTTGAATACCAACGTAAGCTATTTTATTATTGAAAAATTATTCTGTGCGGACCCGGATGGCGTCCAGAGACCAACCGGAACGCATCACATCACGTTTTAGCTCGATACCAGTGCTCAGTACCGCTCGGTATCCGATGACGTTGTGCGTTCTGATTAGACTCTGAACCGTTCCGTGTTTAATTTGCACAGAATAATTTCTCTTGGTTATTAAGGTAAATACCAAAACTACTTGCGCTTATTAAGCTTGTTTTGCTGCTATGTTTTCCTTTTTTTATTAAAACTTTCAGCTTGAATGCATGGCCGGTTATGTCACCCACCGATGACCATTAATTGTGTTCTCTGAAGGCATGTGCCAATGCACTTGCTTCAATGGATATTCTGTCTTGTTGATCCAAACAGCTCCTGCTTCATCTTTCCATTCAATCTATCATGCCATAAACAATCCAATATATTTATGAAGTCATAAGTTTGATTTTCTTAAATAATATAGTGAAGTTTTCATATATGGTTACCACTATGGCATGCCCATGATTCATCATCACAGCTTTTTCAGAACGATAACTCCATTGGAGATCCTCAGGTTGGCGCGCTACTATTATATTTTTATCATCTACAGCTACTGGTGACTGCATGCGCCCAGTTTTACAGGTCTCCCAATCCTTACTGATATCTCCCCAATGCTCAGGTCCATTCGAAGCTCCTCTTTTATAGCTAAACTCCTCTTGCTCTGATGTTTGTAGCATCATCGATTAGTATATCGAATATCATAAAAAGATGTAATAAACTTTGAGAATAAAATATTACCAGAGGCCACTGTTGCACTATTGTTGATGCAGAGAAAAGCCACCATAGCCATTATGAGAAAAAGTTTCTTTGAGACCTCCATTGCCGGCGATCTCAAGCAAAGTTAAGAGAGTATGAGAAGGTTGATGTGAGCATGAATTTTATGTGATGTTTAGCTGCTTTTATAATGAGTTGGGGACGACTCATTCATTGCATGGTCATTTTTTTCTACTAAGATTAAAATGTTTTGTTAAGATCTGTCAAGAACTTTGGCCGGCTTTCTTCTTTCTGTTTGTGATTATTTTTTTTGTTTTTTGTTTCAATTTTACTAATGATATGTCATTTGCCTTTTTTTTCCCTTAAAACAAGCAAAATGAATTGATCGATTGGCCCATCCAATGTCTTATTTGTCTTTTTCTTATATATTTATCCCACGAATGCATGGCTAAGTCTAACCACCCACCACACATAATTATCCAATAGTTTTTGTATTGTTTATATATATATATATATATATATATATAATATTTCCATCAGAATTTCGTACGCCGGTTTGGTGCGCGTCGAAAAATGTCTCCGACGTATATAAGACGCCGAAAACCTTTCCGGCGTACTCTCCGACGCATTACCGGCGCAAAATGTGTTAGCAGAACGTCGTTTCTTACCAGATTATTCCGGCGTTATATACACCGAAATTTACGTCGTATATATCCGACGGATAAGACGCCGTAAGGTGCGCTATAACTAAAGCTACGACTTATTTCCGGCGCCCTTTCCGCGCCTGAAATGCTGGCGGATAAAACGTCGTAAGGTGCGCCGTAACTAAAGCTACGACTTATTTCTAGCGCGTTTTCCGCCGGTAGTTCCGGCAGAAATAAAACGCCGGCAATAATTCAGCAATTCGTTGTATCGTCGTTTCCAACGCCTTTCCGACACTAGTAATGACTTTTGATGATCAAGTCATTAAAAAGAGTACAAGTTTTAGATATATTGGATCTATTGTTCAAAATAATGGTAATGATGATTAAATTTCCTTTCTAATTTAAGTCTTACAAGGAAATAAAAATAATGAATATTAAAGTAGAAATTAATTTTTAAATATTAATTACTATATATTATTAAAAAAAAAAAACAATTAAAATTTTTTTGAATCCCAAACACCTTTACTTTAGATTGGGAGGTATTTGATCTTATATATATATAATATTGAATTAATTTCTCCAATTATTACAATATATTACTAATTAAGTCTATTATTTATATTTATATTTGAGGGACATATATATTCTATTACTATGTCCATTATTTATATTTATATTTGTGGACACCTTTTTTTTCTGAATTTGACCAATAAAAATAAAATACTTTGACAGTTAAGTACAAATTATTTATGGATTAAAAAAAATATTTGAAGTACCCTCCTTCAATTAAGAAAATCCATAAAATTTTTTAATTTAGGAATATTTTATTTGATGATTACATAATTTATGATAATGATTTTTTCTTATCACCATTGATTAAACACACTGAACCCTTCCAATCTCATTCCTTTGTTTTGGTAGTGGTGCCAGCTAATTTAATTAATAAACATTCTAAAAATTATTATCAAAAGATTGGATCAAATTTTGTGAATGTTTCCACTCTCAAAAGTTTGAAGAAATCAATTTTATTTTATCGTAAGGATTGGGTTTGAATTTGTCCGTAGATAACATCATGACGGTATTGAGACTCCTTCAAGAGCTCAAGATTGTAATGATAATAGTGACTATTATCATGTTGATATAAAATTATAAATCTAATTGAAGATTAGTTTGCCATAAAAAATTAGCTGAAAATATTCAAAATCAATGCAATCATATGTTATCAAAAGGATCAGAGAAGAACCTCATTATAGAAGGAGAGGGTATTTAGAAACGTTCGCCAGTGGTTGAGGTCGGGATGAGAAATTTGTTGTCGAGGAAGTATGAGAGAGCTACTAGAAGATAGTTGTTTGCGGAGAAATTTTAATGTGTGTAGTTTGGACGTAGTTTTTCGTCCGGGCACTTCAAACTCTTCCCTCAATACATAAAAATTAGCTAAGACTTTTTTTGGGACGGTTTTCCTGCCACTTGTTAAGGTAGCTTTTTAGTATTTTTAATTTTTATACTAAAAAGCTGCTTTAAGAAGTGACAAAAAAGCCGTCTCAAATGAAGCCTATATCTTTCTTTTTTATCTTATTAGTTTTATACTTCTCACCATCATATTTCGCTCTCTTGATTCTTAATTTATGTCCAGGATCCACTAAATTTAGAAGTCACAAATAAATATTCATTCAAATTTGTCGTAAAATCCATTTCTAAAATTTGATGGCACAAATACTGCATAGCAAAACGACACTCATATAATAAATTAAAAACCCAAAATAAACTAAACAAATGAGAAGAAACTGAACAAACCAAGTACACTCGATGCATGCTCACTGCATACTCTTAGGATTAAGCGCAGATAAGAACATTTTAAGTCTTGTTTGGCCAGTTTTCTGGCCGCTTTGTGTTCTAAATAAAGCAGGAAAGATGTTTTTATCGCTATTTAAAAAGCAGTAAGAAAACTCTCCCAAACGAAATCTGACCTACTTTTTTTGATAAATTTATTTTAACTTGAAAACCAGCAGCTACTTTGTTGATGTTGATTGATAGCGTTCTATGGTTTTCAGGAGACGAAAAGTCGAAATTGCTCAATACATTCTATGTAAGAATAATTACATATACTAATTATGCTAGACGTTATATATATATTTAATTATATAAATCATTAAGGGCTCATATATTTAAATTATTGAAATTTAATTATTTATATTTAAATCTTATTAGTCAAGAAGAAATAATTTGATCAATTGGTTATGGACTGTTTGATCAGATAACTTCTACGAGCGGTTATTATTATAACTAATCAGTAGGAAATGACTACTGGTCCTCTCTCTCTAATTATAGGAGTTAGTTTGTTCCATAGATAATTAACTCGTGAAAGAAGAAAGTGAAAGGGAAAATGGAGAGAAACCATAGTTCGGAATTCAACGAATTTAACATGAATCAAAGTATGTTTTCTTCCGATTAAAAGCTTGTGAAAATCATTTTGTTTAAGATTTTATAGATTTAAGATTTATGTAAATTCATGTTTTCGTTTTGATTTCTTTTACATAATTTGGAATGCGAATTCTTGTAAGAGTTAAAGAACTCATAATGCATGTCACGAGTTCTTGTAAGAAAGTGAGAACTTTAATCTTATATGAATAAAGTTTTTGTAAGAATTAGAGAACTTGAATCTTACATTCTCATCCTGATGACTTCTCCACTACAATAAGCCCTCTCCAATCCTGGCATGTCTTGCATCTCCTCCATCTTGAGCACATTTGAATGCATTGATGAACAAACCAAGTACACTCGATGCATGCTCATTGCATACTCTTCGGATTAAGTGCAGATAAGAACATTTTTAAGCCTTGTTTGGCCCAGTTTTCTGGCCGCTTTGTGTTCTAAATAAAGCAGGAAAGATGTTTTTATCGCTATTTAAAAAGCAGTAAGAAAACTCTCCCAAACAAAATCTGACCTACTTTTTTAATAAATTTATTTTAACTTGAAAACCATCAGCTACTTTGTTGCTGTTGATTGATAGCGTTCTATGGTTTTTAGGAGACGAAAAGTCGAAATTGCTCAATGCATTCTATGTAAGAATAATTACATATACTAATTATGATGGACGTTACATATATATTTAATTATATAAACCATTAAGTGGCTCATATATTTAAATTATTTAAATTTAATTATTTATATTTAAATCTTATTAGTGAAGAAGAAATAATTTGATCAATTGGTTATGGATTGTTTGATCAAATAACTCTTATGAGCGTTTATTATTATAACTAATATGTAGGAAATGACTACCGATCCTCTCTCTCTCTCTCATTATAGGAGTTAGTTTGTTCCATAGATAATTAACTCATGAAAGAAGAAAGTGAAAGGGAAAAGGGAGAGAAACCGTAGTTCAGAATTCAACGAATTTAACATGAATCAAGGTATTTTTTCTTCCAATTAAAAGCTTGTGAAAATCATTTTGTTTAAGATCTTGTAGATTTAGGATTTATGTAAATTCATGTTTTCGTTTTGATTTCTTTTACATAATTTGAAATGCAAATTCTTGCAAGAGTTAGAGAACTCATAATCCATGTTGCGAGTTTTTGTAATAAAGTGATAACTTTAATCGTATATGAATAAAGTTTTTGTAAGAATTAGAGAACTTGAATCTTACATTCTCATCCTGATGACTTCTCCACTACAATAAGCCCTCTCCAATTCTGGCATGTCTTGCATCTCCTCCATCTTGAGCACATTTGAATGCATTGAAACTTGTTGTGTCCCCTCACCAGCTACTACCCTTCCTCACCAACATTTAGATCTTAGCCACCGTTCGCAATCGTCTTGAGTCTACACAGCACTGTCAAAGCTTCAAAGGACACATATTTAACACAACTCATTCTTGTGTATTGATTGTGAACTTTGGCTATCAACTAAGAGATCTTAAGTTCTTATTATATTTTGTTATCAAAGCCATTTTATTAGCTAAAGTAAGATTTATAAAGCAAATTTGTTGGCTACAACATTATTTATTATATATCATTAGCTACCAAGACAATTTAGATGCTTTGATTTTTTATGAATGATGCATTTGGTGTAAGTTGGATGTAAACATATTAAAATTATTATACATGTTGTTGTTGTTGTTTCATAATGTCAGAGGGTAAGATTTTTGTTGTGTTGATTATAAAGAGGATATGAGGGAAAGTAATGATCATATGGCTCTCATATAATTAGATAATCTATTATTGGTAACAATAACATGCCTGTTACACGGTTTCCATTTAGAAAAGATGTCATGCATAACATCTTCTCATGTCGAGAATAAATGGATTTGCGAGCTATTTTATAAATATTCTATGAAATTTTATAATATGTTTAGAATGCACAATAAATTTTTATGGATTTATTTGTTATGCTTGAACCATCTTATGTATTATAATGGGGAAAAATATATACAATAGGGATGTGTTGGCTATCACTATATTATAATGCATAATAAGTCCATTTGAGCCACATGTGATGCTTCAACATTCTAAGAGACTATCTTTAACTATTTTTTTAATTGGGCTTGAAGCATTAGTTATGCTAGCGCTATAGATTATAACGACAACAGATAAACAAATTCATTATATATTTACCAAAATTTAAAATGATGAGCATTATATGCTAAATTTTAAGTATTATATTGGGAAAAATTATGGGACTATGTAGATGCATGCATCCCTATTGAAGATGAAATAGCATATATTGGGTGACATAAATCAACAACCTAAAATATTATGATCGTATATGATTTAATATGTGTTTCACATTTGCTGCATTCTAATGGAATGGTTTAGCACATGCTGCTTGGATTTCCAGCAAGCTATTTTGGATCAGAGACGTGAATTTCCTATGCCACAAAAAAAAAATTATTATAAAAAGAATGTAATTTCAATTTTTTGTTATATTATGTTTACAGTTTGACATGCATTTCAGAGGGAAAATTTTAGTTTGCTGATGTTGGGTATCATCTACAAAGGAAATTTCACAAGCCTTATTAGAAATTAAGATATCATGTTCCACATCTTTTATGAAGTGGTCATCCAATAAGAGTCTTTGCAAGATGTTCAATAAGAAACATTCATCACTTCAAAGTGTAATAAATTGAGCATTTTGTGTATGGAAAGAGAAATTGAGGATTTTAAGGGATATGCTATATTACACTTTCACGAAAATGTCATCTCATTATTGTTGCCATAATGGCACTTCATGTTTATATACATAGACATAAATTCATAATTGCTCGTGAGTTTAAGGAATGCGATGTTGATGAAATTTGTATTTACCTGGAAACACATGAATATAAAGTATGATAACATGTTGATGAAAACCTTCAAATGGATGTTGATTTAGACTTGGTTGATGGAGAAAGTGTAGAGGAGATGTTTGAACTTAAAGATAATATTGCTTTGCAATCATGAATTTCTAATACATACTACATATTAAGATTTCTTTATTTATGGTAATGTTATTATCAGATCCTCCAACAATGTCAATATGTTTCTATACTAAATTCAATGTAATTATCATTTTCCTATTAAAACTATTTGCTAATTTTCATATTCACTATCATGATTTGAGACCCAACGCGTCTATCTACTTGCAATATCAAGAAAAATAGATGTTTTATATATGCCATAATTTATCATATTAACTTTTAAAAACAATATGTAGTTGTAATTAAATTTTTATGAACTTGCATTATCTATTACTTATTTGCATTTAAGATACATAAGTATTTTTTTGTTATGTAAATTATTAATTAAAGATTCATGTCATGGTTATTCGATAAATTTTATGCTTGCTGTTGACTACCAAATGCAACTCTCTATTTTTCTCATTCAGGGCTTAGCATCTGGTAACGACATGTTGATTATGAAGAAAAAGGATTCATGCAAGGTAGTGGGATAAAAGCTTACGTTGCTATTATTGTTGTTATGAATTGTTGATTAATTTTACTAATGTAAAATTTTCTTAATTATTATTTACATTAGTGATGGCATTATCAGTAATGCTTAATTAGTTTACAATGGCATGTTTCCTAATTCAAGCAGCAAGGCCAAATCCCTTTAGCTCAATGTATTTATCAGTACACATGATGTTGAGCTTGTGTTGCACATGCTATGTTGAACATAATGCATAAACTATTGTTGCATATAATAATTCATAATTTTTAATATCCAATAAGACAAATAACAATCCATTAAAAAAAATATATTGTTAAAAAGATGATCATCATGTAAGATTGAAGAATAATATTCATCTCGTTTATCATATTCATTACTAATAAGGTGAGCATAATCACAGCAGTTTTAACACAATAGACAAAAACATTGAATCGCTTTCTTATGTTTATAATCACAACATTTATAACACAACACTGTCGAATTATTGCACTCATCTGTCTCAAGTGAGTGTTTCAATCTAATATTGAAGAAGTAAAGCTCTTTACATTCAATATAATACTTAGAATACTCATCTTTATCTCAAATTATGATAAGCTTCTAACAATATTTAATCACAACTCGAATATATTTCAATCAATATTAGAAATTTCAATTAATGTTCGAAGTCCATAATATGATATTTAGGCTTTGTTTGGGACGACTTTTTTACCGCTTTCTAGAGTAGTTTTCTAGAACAAAATAAAAAATTTTGTACTAAAAAACTGTTTTAAAAAGTAGTAATTAAGAAAGTCGTCCCAAACGAAGCCTTAATCTCCTTATGGGTTTAGGATCCAAAATGCAAATGATGATTTCAAACCTAGTTAAACAAACATATAATATCACTAATATTGATAGAAACTTTAAAGTAAAACCATTTCATGCAAATTTCAATTGCCATACATAAGCAATATTTTTAATCATTATTCAACATTTTAATTGTTATTTGAGTAAATGATATAGTTTAGATATTAAGGGGTCAGAAATGATTTTCTTTAAAAGGAATGCAATGGAAACTACATTTAGCATATTTAAGTTGATGTTATTTAGTTGAAATTAAAATAAATGCAGCCCACTATTTTTTGTGTTTGATTTTGAGTAAAATGAATTATTGTAAAGTGGTGGCAGCAGCTAATAGTGACAATGCAGGTGTGATAATAAATGGCGGATGATTTATAATGTATTAGAATCTGATAGATTTTCAAATACATCAAAATAAAATAGAAAGTAAATTCCAAATTCTTAAAATAAAAGGCATTGCATTTAAAAATTATCAAACCAAATTACTAAATTTCTCAAAATATACATTTAAAATACATTATATTATAAATTCAACGAATTATGTGCGTAAAATAAAATAGGGCATTTTATAAAAAAGAGCCTATCTTAAATTTAAATTAGCTTAAGGAACATGTTAACAAAAAAAGTTACTACTCTGATTTCTATAAATTCTTAATTTTATTTTTTATGTTAGTTTCTAATTTGAAAAGAAACTAGAACATGAAATTACAGTTTCATACGAACCGAATTTTCATGTTCCGGTTTATTAAGAAATTGAATTTCCTCTAAGACTCATTTATTAAATATATTTTTATTATTAAATTTTTATTAAAAAATAAATGA